TGTATATCTTAATATAAAAAAGTAGTCATATAAAAGAAACGTATGGCTCTACAAACAAGCTAACTTTGTTAAAATGAATATACAATTTAAGAATAAAAATTGGAACGAGTTTTTTAAAGAATGTACGGACGTTAATGAAATGTGTGACAAATTCCACTCCCAACTGAAAAATTACATGCACGACTATATACCCTCAAAGTGTGTAACTATTGGCCCAAAGGACAAACCATGGTTCGATAATGACCTCTGAAAGGAGCGTCGCTCCAGAGACCGCTATCGAAAAAAGGCATTACGAACTGGAAAATTAAGCGATCTTGTCAATTACAAAAAGCAAAGAAACAAATTTAATAATATAAAAAACATAGCCAAAGAAAAATACTACAGCAACATTAACGGTTTGTTGGAAACACATCTGAACTCAAACAGTAACAAGTACTGGACATTATTGAGATTCATCATCAAAAATGCTAATTCACCAGCATCTATCCCCCCTCTGTGTTCCGACCTTAATAAACCCACAACATTTACCGATGTCGAAAAGGCTGATGTACTCAATAATTATTTTGTTTCTATTTGTGATGTTGATGACGGCAATCAGCCCCTTCCGGATTTCAGTCAACGTTGTGAAACCTCTCTCTCAGATGTCACAGTTACTGAATCAGAAATAAGCGATTTCATAAAGTCACTACCATGCAATAAGTCAAGCGGACCAGATAATATAAATCCTAGACTTTTAAAACCCTTGGCTGACAGAATTGCCATCCCATTATGTATAATTTTCAATCGATCTTTAAAAGAAGCAATCTTTCCAGAAAACTGGAAACTTGCTCACGTCATGCCATGATACAAGAAAAGTGACAAAGCATTACCCTCGAACTACAGACCAATTAGCTTGTTATCTATTCTTGGAAAACTACAGGAGAGATTAGTTTTTAAACGCTTATACAACTATTTCAATATGAATAGTCTCCTGTACAAATATCAATCCGGCTTTTGTACCAGGACATTCTACTACCTCACAATTAATAGAAATTTATAATGATATTGTCTTATCTGTTGACAAGCACGAATACTATTGTATTGTATTCTGTGATATATCGAAAGCATTTGACGGAGTTTGGCATAAAGGATTACTTCATAAATTACAAAAATACGGTGTAACGGGCAAGCTATTACTATGGTTAGAAGACTATATTAGTCAGAGGAGACAAAAGGTTTTTGTAAATGGCAGCTTTTCATCTTTGAAATTCACCAGAACCGGTGTCCCCCAGGGCTCGATATTAGGTCCCTTCTTGCTTTTAGTCTACACCAACGATCTCGCTGATAATCAAGTGAATTCTACTCGCCTTTTTGCAGACGATACTTCCATTGGTACATCATCTCTTCACTTACAAATGATAGAACGCAGATTAAACAGTGATCTAGAGCTTCTCAATACATGAGCCAATAGATGGCTAGTTAAGTTTAACCCGGACATAACAACATTTTTTCTGTTCACTCATTGTAAAAACCGCACTACAGATATTATTTATAACGATACCGCACTTAGCGCATCTATCTCGCACAAACATTTGGGCGTTACTCTCTCTCATGATATGAGGTGAAATGGGGTTTTACGTCGCGTCCAAGATTATTGCACTTATATAGCGACGTGCATGCATGTGTGTGTGGCTGCTTGTACTAGACCGGACTGATGCCGATTTATAGTGCTAGCTCACTGAGATACTATGCCGCAGTTTAACATCAATATCCCACTCAGACACAGTATACTGACTCCGAGCCGACCAGTCCTTGTTTTAGCCCCTTAATGCCGAGCGCCAGACATGGTAACAACAAGTACCATCTTTTAACGTCTTTTGGTATTACGCGGCCAGGGATCGAACTCCGGGCTTTCCGGGCGGACGCTCTACCACTAGACAACGGAGGCGCTCTCTCATGATATAGAGTGGACAACTCACGTTGATAACATTTGCCGCTCAGCTTCCAAAATGATTTGTTCGTTAAGAACCGTTCAATATTTACTTGACAGACCAACCCTGTCCTAAGTCTATCTTGTTTTCATAAGGCCTATATTAGAATATGCTTCAGAGGTATGGGATAACTGCAGTCAAGAAAATTCCGAAAAACCTGAAATGATTCAACTCGAAGCCGCTCGCATAGTGACAGGTCTCCCTAAATTCTCCTCAAGATTGAGTTTATATTTTGAGACAGGATGGGAATCATTATCTTATAGAAGGAAAAATAAAAAACTTTGTACAATCTACAGTATTGTTAATAACCTATGTCCATCGTATTTACATGACACGTTACCACCCAAAGTATCAACTATTAGTAGTGAGTGAGAGTTGGGTTTAACGCCGCTTTTAACATTATTCCAGTTATATCACGGCGTGTCAGCTTAATGTGGGAGGAAAGCCCGAAGTGATGCAGGTCTCAGACGTTTACCACTTCGGTGAAACCCACGAGCACGGGTATGGTGCTGACAAACCTAGAAACATAATCGGGGCGAACCGGGATTCGAACCCACAATCATAGGTTTCTGGCGTGCCCAAGGGACGCAACTCTGCACAGCGAATCGCGGCGCCTTAGACGACTGGGCCACCCGTGCCCCCAACTATTAGTAGATATGAGTTACGAAATCAGAACAATATGAATCTGCCGCATGCACGAACAGTTTACATACCAACAATCATTTATACCTTCTTCAATCAAATTATGGAATGAGTTACCCCCTGAATACAGAAGTGCAGCATCATTATCAAATTTTAAACATGATTAAAACAACCATTGCAGCTCCACCTCCATACTTCTCAATCGGCACCCGAAGAGCCAACATTTTACATACACGCCTAAGGCATTCTTGCAGTTCCCTAAATGCAGACCTCTTTAAAGTAAATTTATTTGATACTTTGTCCTGCTCTTGTGGAAACCCATGTGAAAACAACATACACTTTTTTCTTGAATGTCCCAATAAAACTATTCCCAGAAATATCATGTTCGCTAACATTATAAAAGCTGGAACTACATGTACAATACAAAATATTCTCTACGGTGATGTATCCCTAGCTGAAAGCCACAATAACCTCATCTTCAACAGCGTTCAAAAATATATACTGTCGACTAATAGATTCGAGTAACCCTTTATCATAAATATAGAATATCGCTCTGCGACCACTTATTATTAATTATGCCATTAGTTTATAAACTGCATGTATATATATGAATACATGGGTATCTCTGCCTCCTTCTGTAAGTATAATGTTTACGGGTATGTATATTCTGGTGTATGTGTGTATATATGTGTATGTGTATGTATATATATGTATGCATGCGTATACAAGGGTATATGTGTATGTATGTGTGCATATATGTACATGTATATAAGTGTATGTATGATTGTGTAATTATATTTGTAGTCATGCATGTATTTTGGACTAATGTGTATATACAAGTAAATTGTGTTTATAAAGGCAATTCTTATGTTTGTCTATGTTATTCTTGCAAACATTATGTTTATGTTCTTGTGTAAATATATTTCTCTTTGTTACTATAAATGTAATATGTAAATGAGTATGTGTATGCATGTATGAGTATGTATGATTATGAGTATATATGATTATGTGTATATGTGTGTATTTCTGTATACGTATGTATATGTATGTGTGTATGTATATGTGTATATATATATATATGTATAATCAATGTTTGTACATATAGAGTAGGGAAAGGGTCACCTAAGTTGGATAACTTTTGCCCAATCCCGTTGACCATATATGTCAATAAAATATGTTTAAAACAAACAAACAACACCTCTATATTCCTACTCCGACATAACACCTCTATATTCCTACTCCGACAAAACACCTCTAATCTTCTACTCCAACATAACACCTCTAATCTTCTACTCCAACATAACACCTCTGTATTCTCACTCCGACATATCACCTCTATATTCCTACTCTGATATAACATCTCTCTACTCAAACATAACACCTCTATTCCTACTCCGACATAACACCTCTGTATTCCTACTCTGACATAACACCTCTGTATTCCTACTCTGATATAGCACCTCTGTATTCCTACTCTGACATAACACCTCTGTATTCCTACTCTGACATAGCACCTCTGTATTCCTACTCTGACATAACACCTCTGTATTCCTACTCCGACATAACACCTCTGTCTCCCTACTCTGACATAACACCTCTGTATTCCTACTCCGACTAAACACCTCTATATTCCTACTCCGACATAACACCTCTGTATCCCTACTCAAACATAACACCTCTAAATATTAGTCTGACAAAACACCTCTTTGTTCCTACTCCGACAAAAAACCTCTTTGTTCCTACTCCGACATAACACCTCTGTATTTCTAGTCCGACATAACACCTCTGTATCCCTACTCCGACAAAGCACCTCTATATTCCTACTCCGACAAAACACCTCTAATCTTCTACTCAAACATAACACCTCTGTATTCTCACTCCGACATATCACCTCTATATTTCTACTCTGATATAACACCTCTCTACTCAAACGTAACACCTCTATTCATACTCAGATATTAACACCTCTGTATTCCTACTCCGACATAAAACTCCTCCATATCACAACTCTCTCCCCCCCCCACACACACATATCCACCCACCCTCACTCTCCCGCACACATTCACCCGCTCTCTCTCTCTCTCTCTCTCTCTCTCTCTCTCTCTCTCTCTCTCTCTCTCACACACACACACACACACACACACACACACACACACACACACACACACACACACACACATATCCTCGTGGGATCAGCGTTCATGCAGGTTAGACAAAGACAAAGCTATTTCCCTAAACCTGTGAGGCACATAGCTGGGTTTTAAGAGATACCTCTTACTCTGCCTGACATTAAGGGTAAGCCGTCCCCACGATACCTGCAGCGCCGTCAAAAAACGTGTCTTTATCTTTTCAAAAATACGTCTTTTGAAATAACTGTGCTCATTCTCTTACGGTTTATCATTCTTTGAGACACCTGCAATGTCACCTTTCTTGTCGGACAGGACATCACCTGTGCATGCCGCTACCTGATCTCACGGAGATTACATTTGCCTGAGAGCTCGACACAGAATCACAAGATGTCGGCTCGTGTGGTTCTCGTGGTGAGTATGGCACCGGGACCTCGGCTCTACCTTCACAAGCTCACTTGTGTGACAGTGATCTACATTTGATTCACATTCCTGTCTATTTCAGGTCTATGCCCTTGTGATTCTCGTGACGTGTGTAATAACGTATGTCAAAGGTGAGTTGTGGACTCTCAGAAACAGGTGTGTCAGTGTGGTTGCTCAATATCCGGCATTCCATGCCCGGGAATGATACTGAAGTTCAAGGTCATCATGACCCTTACCTCTGTAGTAGCTGCACTTTGTTGCACATTACAATTAATGTAACATAGTGATGCTGTGTGACAGGGATACAACATTAGTGTAACATAGTGATGCTGTGTGACAGTGATACGACATTATTGTAACATAGTGATGCTGTGTGACAGGGATACAACATTATTTTCACAAAGTGATGATGTGTGACAGTGATACGACATTAATGTAACATAGAGATGCTGTGTGACAGGGATACAACATTATTGTAACATAGTGATGCTGTGTGACAGTGATACAACATTAATGTAACATAGTGATGCTGTGTGACAGTGTTACGACATTAATGTCAGGAAATATTCATGGAATGCGGAGTATATGTGTGAGTTGTATTTTGCCACGCTATTGACAATATTGAGCTGATGTGTATCATGGCGGATACTCTACAGATTTGGTAAACTAGACGTTTGTCTTCCAGCAAATTAAGACGCGTCTTTTGGAACCCAATTCTTCACAACTTGCACCATATTTCCTCACTTAGCTGTATGCAATTGTCCACTATGGAACGTCGAGGTAAACGTGCCACATCAACGTGTTGCATCAACACAGTGACAGGTTTACTGAACACTCGTGTATTCATGCAGCAACCCTATACAAGTGCTTGGAGGGGGGAACTTTTGGGGGTGGGGTGGGGATGACAGTCATGGCCATCAAGTTTTTACACTTTTTATCTAATTCCGCCCTGAAACATATTATGTTTCTTCATATAATTCAGTCTAATCATGTTGGCTAAATATACTACGATAGATTTGCCATTCACTGTCATTAAAATATATTTATGCGCACATACAGTCAGGTGGGCACCAGTGGGTGTTTAATGGCGATCTCGGTGTTCACAGGTGCCTGTTCCTCCTCGCAGTGGTCCTGCAACAACAACAGATGCATCGCCACGTCGTTGAAATGTGATGGCAACGACGACTGTGGTGACAATTCGGATGAACATGAAGGCTGTGTTGATCTTGGTCAGTTCCACCTGCCTTTCCCACATCATTTGCGTGCGTGCGTGCGTGCGTGCGTGCGTGCGTGCGTGCGTGCGTGCGTGCGTGCGTATGGTATTTCGCCGTTATTAGCATTCTTCCGGCAATATCACGGCTGGGCACACCAGGAATAGAACCCGGGTGTCCGGTGTGACGAGGCAATGCTTTTACCACTAGGCGACTCAACGCCCCCATATCATTAGAGGGATGTCTTATTGCAAAATGTACTGAGAGAGTTGGGTTTTTTACGTGCGCTTTCCGGCACACGGGCCCGCCAGGCCGCTAAGCGGTTTTGCCGAGGAGGGTGTGTCCGAAAAGCAAGGGCAATCTGGGTGGCTTTAAGGCTGCTGATGTAATTTGGGGGAAATTTGGAATTTTGAAGAATGCCGTGCAAAAGGTGGTTGTGTAGTCGTGCGTTATTTTTTATATATTTCTTTTTAGGGTTTGTATTTTTAGGGTTATAGGGTTTAGGTGTTGGTGATAGCAAGTCTTTGTAGTTTATTTATTGTTGTTTTTAATTGCGCCATGTATGTGACTGTAGGTAACCCCTGTGGCAGTGGGAAGATATGTAGAAGCATCCTTAAATGTGTGGGGCAGCATCAGCTGTGTAACGGTAAAGACGACTGCGGAGACAACTCGGATGAAGAGAACTGCCCTCACAATCTTCAGGGCTGTAAGTATGTCTGTCAGGTAGAGACCTACAGCATAGGCAGACGTCGATTTATACACTTGAAGAAGTGTCGCGTTATCACTTCATTACACATTAGTTTTGTGTGAAATGTGTCTGTCGCCATATTTGTGCTACTTTCAAGTTATGAACACACACAGCCATTAAGAAAGTGGTCAAATGTAACAAATGTTATATCTGGGATAACATTTTCTTTTTAAAGTACAGATTCTCATTTGTTACGTTTGACCACTTTCTAAATGGCATTGTGTCTTCGTAACTTTCGGCCATGGGAGCCGTGCCAATTTACACTTGTCAGAGGGGTACATAAAGTACGTGATCTAGACTTTCCTTTTTGTGGAAGCCTCGGTAGCTGAGTGGGTTAGATCGCTGACTTTGTGTGCTGGCGATTAGGTACCTCACTCTGGCAGTGTGGGTTCGAATCCCGGTCGGGACTCAACCCAAAAAAGTACGAGAATCTGTACTTTACAAAGAAAGTGTTATCCCAAATATAACATTTGTTACGCTATACTTTCTAGTTAGATATAGAAGCAGCGACTGTCCTTATTCGTATATACATATGATAATATAAATGTACAAGGTTTAATGACAAATGTTGAAATGAAACTGAGTTTGAATCCATCTTCAGCCCAGTGCCCAACAGGAACACCGTTGGTAGACGACAAGGGGTTGGCATATTTCTGTGGTCGGGGTCCATCTGCCCAGGCATGCCCACCGAACAGCGCCTGCCATACCGACCCTCTTGACCGCTTCGCTGTGTGCTGTCCAGTATGAAACCATTGTTACCAAACAAACAAATAAATGTTGTCATGTGTCAGAAAGAAGTGTTGTGTGTGTTTGTTAACTACCGGAATGGTGATGGTGTATTTCAGGTGTATAGGGGCAGAATAAGTCGAGACAGTGTCCCTCAACCGCCACCGCCGCATCACATGAGACCAACCAGGAGATGAGGGACTTTATGGGTGAAAAATCATATTTGACTTTTCATTATATTTTAAAACTACAGCATCTTTGGAACTCAGAAATAAACTCTACAAGCTTCAATTCATGTTTATTACAGAGATACATGACACCACACATGGCGACCTTCACTGAAGTAAGTTGACGTCAAACGTCTGTATGACGTCATAGCACAATGGTATCCCAGCACCCATAAGCTCCCTTTTCTCTTCTTATAAAGAGAAGTATATGTCATGTTCATTTGTGAGCTATGAGGTGCTTGGATATCTAAAGGCTATCGTGTAATGTACAACTACTTTTGAGCCCTCGGAAATGTGTTTGACACACCGATATCTCCCGTCAGAAGTCCAGGTTATCCTCAAGCTCATCTTCAAGGTGACATTTGTGTACCACCTCACTCGAGAAGGATTATCTGTAGATAACGGAACTCGGTACGTCATGCTGAGGGCGGAGCCGAGGTCGGAAACGTCAGTGTCCAACGTATTGGGTTGTCCCTGAAGTATGTTTGGTATTTACACTAAGGTGCCCTTTGCTGCTTTCTCGTAAAGTCCCATGATACTCGTATGTACTTATTATGTGATGTCAGTGAGTAAATATTGGCTTACGCCGCTTTTAGCAATATTCCAGCAATATCACGGCGGGGGACACCAGAAATGGGCTTCACACATTGTACTCATGTCGGGAATCGAACACGGATCTTCGGCGTGACGAGCGAACACTTTAACCACTAGGCTACCCCACCGCCCTATTTAATGACAAACTAATGGTATTAACTTTTTACTTATATGCAGCAGAATATCTGCACTTTTACGCAGTAAACGTACTTTAAAATTAACAAATTTAGTTTGCGCAATCAGTATATGCGCTATCTCTGACTGGATCTTCTGGTCCATCACTTGATTGTCTGGTTTGTTTGCAGGCCGTCGTAGCATGGCAGGAGGACTGCTGTGCGGCGTCAGGTTAGGAACGAACACTTACATTTGTAGGCAGACTGTGCGAGTGGCAGGTGCTACCGGGAGGGCAGTACATGCATGCTTCCCCTTACGACCTGGAGTCATCGCTGAGTGTCAGTGATTCATTTGTATCTTGTAAGAGCCCCCCAAACATGATACAGAGCTTTATATATATAAATGTATATTTTGTTTCTGAGGGTGCATCTGAGGATGCAATTCCGAAAATAGTTCCTTTCGAACTTACTGTTACAAGTGCAATATCACAATAGCAATGTCATTGTACATGAGTGTTAGTAGCATACAGAAGTAAGATAAGGAAAGGTTTTTTTTAACTCCTTACACATATTTTGTCAACTACTTCGTGTACCCTAGAATCCATACACTCACTCGCCTGACGGTGAAGAGATGATAACGGTCACCAAACACCACTTTGTCAAATGCATGTGATAAAATAAAACAAAATAAAACAAAACAAAAATACATTTACAAATAGTGGACCTAACTCGTAGTGTTTAGTGTTTCCCGAAAGGAAGACGAGCAACTGCAACTGCAGCTGGCTGCGGGATCGGGATACGTTCGTCGGAAGTCGGTCTGTATCTCGTCATCAGCTTCGTGCAAGTGTGAGAAGAGTCTCTGAAGGCACTTGAACAGCACCTCACCAGCCTTAATAGGTTGCCAGTAACATAATGTGTCCAGGTATTGAAGTACTAAAGTGCAGCGAGTCGACCTGTGCATCCCCAGTCAGTAGCTCACAGGGTCGATACACATCCTGGGACAAGCACCACAGCACTTCAGGGCGGCAGGGCAGTCTCGGTCGGTGCCGCAGTGAGGCTTCAGGGGACAAGACGGCAAGGAGTCTGGACACTGGGAGATTTTAGGACACGCCCCATTCTTTACAGTGGATACGGGTACTTTACAAACTCTGGGACAGTTCCCACAACACTTCCTGTCCCCGGGGCAATCAGCGTCGTTGTCACATCTGGCTACACACAGTCCTGCAATCGGGGACTCGGCGGGACAGCCGCCAGACTTCACTGAAACAGAAGCAACGATTAGAGAGATACATTAACCTTTGAGTGAGTGAGTTAAAATTTAAAGTCACATCGGCAATATTTCAGCCATATCGTGACTAACAGTAACCTTTGACCTAACCTTTGACCTAACCTTTGACATTTGGGCACAAGTAGATGAGATCTTATGAAACTGGTGTCAGCTTGAAGTACACTTTCTTGATATGTTCACATGGTACTGCTGATGCGAATATATGTACCAATCTGTTCATCAGGCCACGCCCACTGATCAGAACTCGGCCCGTGTCAGACGTATTTTTATTATTATTATAATTTTACTTTGACAGGAATCACAACATTACTAGGAAGATCCGTGGTAGAATATGTCTTCAGCAACCCATGTGCGCCGTAAAAGGCGACTATGGTTGTCGTAAGAGGCGACTAACGTGATCGGGTGGTCAGGCTCGCTGACGTGGTTTATTTATAGGACGCCGTCATATAGCTGGAATATTGCTGAGTGCGGCGTTAAACAACAAACAAACTAAACAACATTACTAGTTTGATTTTACAATGATTCAAAATGACAAATATGAACTGAACTGAACTAATAATCAGGAACGGTATTGCGTACGTAGAATCTTATTAATAACGCGTATTACATGTAACGATGTTAACATTTCCTTGGTACGTGCTCACCTCTGGGGACACATTCAGGACGCGGGGAGGGACACGGCCCGAGAAGGCAGCGCGAGAACCGAACCCTGCACGCCATGTTGGGGGGACACCACTTCATCTGCAATACGAGGCCACGGCGGATTGTGTGGGATGCTCTTCACTCTATCATTCTCAAACGCCATAACTTGCCCCGTTTAATTTACTCACCGACAGAAGAAACGCGAATACCAATACATGTTGCTTAATATATGAAGAATTACTCATATTCAAGAGATATAGGATTGGTTCGATGCACAAACGAATATACAGGTATGTTGTGTGAATCGACGCTCATGAACTCATCACATGTGACGGCATAGCTCCCTGACTCGAGATGCTCCATTTGTCTCGTGCAGGATTAGCGTGTAAAGTGTGGAAATCACATGCAGCATATCGTGACAAGAATAAAGACACTGTGGTGATATTTGTTAGTTTTGTCATGAAGTGGTACATATTAGAACCAAATCTCTTAACGTACATACTTCTCTATGTGTTTCTACGATTCGCGTTTCTTTTGGCGGTGAGTATACTTTATCATAGGACAATGAACAAAAACAGTTATTCGTCTGTCAGCTGTTTGCTATTTTAAGACCACAACGTGCTCATTGTGAACACACGCATCAGTCGACTGTGTCAAGAAGTGGTAGCTTCAAAAATACACGATGCTAGTTTCTGACACGGATACTTCACTACAGTTATCCCCAAAAGAAGATCGTACCTTATTTATTAAAACGAAACAGGATTATTGTTTTCAACAGACGGTTGCATTAGCCTGACGCCACAAACATGTCTCTGGTAAAATTCATTACAGATCATAGCAGAAAATACGAAATTGTCTACAAGGAGTTATGCATGTGCACTTAGCGCATACTTTGCACAATCCTGTATGGACAAATATAAGTAGTATCGTACAGTAGTAGATTGTGAAGCAGTATACGTACTGCGCATGGGTCGGGTCTCTGGTCATAGGCAAAGCTGCTGGCCACACAACAGATGATCACCTAGAAATGTATTGAAGACATCTGTGTATTCGAAACTTGTAAACGATGCTTGGCAGGGGAATGAGAGTACTTTACATCCCAGGATGATCTTCAAGAAGACGTATATGTGTGTGGCAGGTGTGCGATATGTTAGTGATAGGTGTACGATATGTGTGTGCTGCTGTACGATGTGTGTGTGGTAGGTGTATGATGTGTGTGGTAGGTGTACGATATGTGTGTGTTAGGTGTATGATGTGTGTGCTAGGTGTACGATATGTGTGTGATAGGTGTATGATGTGTGTGGTAGGTGTGCGATATGTGTGTGTTAGGTGTATGATGTGTGTGGTAGGTGTACGATGTGTGTGTGGTAGGTGTATGATGTGTGTGGTAGGTGTACGATATGTGTGTGATAGGTGTATGATGTGTGTGGTGTACGATATGTGTGTGGTAGGTGTACGATATGTGTGTGGTAGATGTACAACATGAGTGTGGTAGGTGTACGATATGTGTGTGGTAGGTGTACAATATGTGTGTGGTACGTGTACGATATGTGTGTGGTACGTGTACGATATGTGTGTGGTAGGTGTACGATATGTGCGTGGTAGGTGTACGATATGTGTGTGGCAGGTGTACGATATGTCCGTGGTAGGTGTACAATATGTGTGTGGTACGTGTACGATATGTGTGTGATAGGTGCACGAAATGTCCGTGGTAGGTGTACGATATGTGTGTGATAGGTGTACGATATGTCCGTGGTAGGTGTACGATATGTGTGTGGTAGGTGTACGATATGTCCGTGGTAGGTGTACGATATGTGTGTGATAGGTAAACGATATGTCGGTGGTAGGTGTACGATGTGTATGTGGTAGGTGTACGATATATGTTAGGTAGGTGTACGATATGTACGTGGTAGGTATGCGATATATGTGTGGTAGGTGTATGATATGTATGGTAGGTGTACGATATGTGTGTGGTAGGTGTATGATGTGTGTGCTAGGTGTACGATATGTGTGTGGTAAGTGTATGATGTGTGTGGTAGGTGTACGATATGTGTGTGGTAGGTGTACGATATGTGTGTGGTAGGTGTACGATATGTGTGTGATCGGTGTATGATATGAGTGTGAAAGGTGTACGATATGTGTTTGGTAGGTGTGCGATATGTGTTTGGTAGGTGTGCGATATGTGTGTGGTAGGTGTGTGATGTGTGTGGTAGGTGTACGATATGTGTGTGGCAGGTGTACGATATGTGTGTGGTAGGTGTACGATATGTGTGTGGTAGGTGTACGATATATCCGTGGTAGGTGTACGATATGTCCGTGATAGGTGTACGATATGTCCGTGGTAGATGTACGATATGTCCGTGGTAGGTGTACGATATGTCGGTGGTAGGCGTACGATATGTCCGTGGTAGGTGTACGATATGTGTGTGGTAGGTGTACGATATGTGTGTGATAGGTGTACGATATGTGTGTGGTAGGTGTACGATATGTGTGTGATAGGTGTACGATATGTGTGTGGTAGGTGTACGATATGTGTGTGATAGGTGTACCATATGTGTGTGGTAGGTGTACCATATGTGTGTTCTAGGTGTACGATATGTGTGTGGTAGGTGTACGATATGTGTGTTCTAGGTGTACTATATATGTGTGGTAGGAGTACGATATGTGTGCGGTAGGTGTGCGATATATGCTGAAATATATGACTCCAGAAAACATCCCGGTGAGAGTTGGTCCTCAGCCACCCATGCTTGTCGTAAAGGGCGACTATGCTTGTCGTAAAGGGCGACTATGCTTGTCGTAAAGGGCGACTATGCTTGTCGTAAAGGGCGACCATGCTTGTCGTAAAGGGCGACTATGCTTGTCGTAAAGGGCGACTATGCTTGTCGTAAAGGGCGACTATGCTTGTCGTAAAGGGCGACCATGCTTGTCGTAAAGGGCGACTATGCTTGTCGTAAAGGGCGACTATGCTTGTCGTAAAGGGCGACTATGCTTGTCGTGAAGGGCGACTATGCTTGTCGTAAAGGGCGACTATGCTTGTCGTGAAGGGCGACTATGCTTGTCGTGAAGGGCGACTATGCTTGTCGTAAAGGGCGACTATGCTTGTCGTAAGAGATGACTGACAGGATTGGGTGGTCAGACTCGCTGACTGACATCGTATCCCAATTGCGTAGATCGACGCTCATAATGTCAATCACTTGATTGTCTGGTCGAGACTCGATTATTTACACACCGCCGCCATATCGCTGGAGTATTGCTAAGTGCAACAACAAACACAAATCAAATATCTTAAATACAAACATTTCTATTTCTGCACTAGTGAGATTTACAAGGAAAACGATACAGGCATATTGATGAAATAGCGACTACTGAATGTAATGAGCATAGTGTAACACTTACCAGTGTGACAGGCAACATGACTGTTGTGCAGTTTCTGTATGGAAGTAGTGTCAGACGCGAGCAGAGAGTTAGTGTAAGACGCGAGTTTGGTGATTGGTGTTGGACGTGAGCGTGTAAATGCGAGGGACATGGTCTCGTTAATCATGCTGACACGTGACAAGGGGAGATCAGCGACAAGGGACACACAATGGTAAAACGTGATCACGTTTTTAGTTTAATTGCGTCACGAACAGAATAACTGGAAACAACACCACGTGCCCAGTTCATGACCGATCTGATATTTTTAAACATTTCAACAAACATACACTCTTAAAAAAAAGTAACGCATATGTGTTTTGAGAACTCCAATTCGATCTTTTTTCCCAGCAATCGTCATAAAGACAATTCTTATGTCTGAATCCCGTTAATCATGTCATGTTTGTTGTGCATTGTGCGCAAACACATCTCAAAATGTTTTTTGTAAACGTTTATCAGCAAAAATGGAAAGGATTCACGGAAATTGCTTTCAGAAAAGGTTTTCGGCACAAGGCACGTGCAAAGGGTTCGAAACAAGAGTAGAGACACTGACTATAAAAGACCGTACAAAATTCATCAGTTCATTACGAATTTTCTGACGTGAACGGAGATCGAAAAATACCAAGATTAACTGCAGCTGACCGAAATATCGCCATTGGACGTTTGGAAGCAGGGGAGTCCCAGTCTGCCATTGTAAGACACTTAAACGTTCACCAAAGCACCATATCTCGACTATGGAATCGATATACCCGCACTAATTCGACACAAGATGATCCCAGAAGTGGAAGACCAAGAGTGACCACCCCTGCTCAGGAACGGTACATCCGGTTGCATCACCTTCGGAATCGATTTGCTACAGCAACGGACACTGCAGGACAAGTGCCTGGTATGCGAAGAATTTCCGACCAAACCTTTAGAAATCGGCTAAGGGAAGTGGGAATTCGAGCGAGACGACCAAAAGTTGGACCTGTCTTGCGACGTCTACACTGTCAATGACGTGTCCAGTGGTGTACTCTGGTACAGGCATGGGATCTCAGGAACTGGCGACGCGTTTGGTTCAGCGATGAGTCACGTTTTCTTCTTCAACGACGGATGAAAGACAACGTGTATACCGACGTCGACATGAACGTTTTGCGCCTAACTGCGTTCGACAGGTGGACCGATTTGGTTGAGGGAGTGTCATGGTGAGGGGAGCCATATCCTACACGGGTAGATCACAGTTAGTGGTTGTCCAGGGCAATCTTACAGCAAACCGATACATAGACCAAATTCTGCGTCCACACCTCCTCCAAACGTTGGACCGCCAGAGGGAGCTGTTCCAACATGACAACGCTCGGCCCCTACACAGCACGTGCAACAGTTAATTTCCTTGTTAATGAGAACATCAATGTCATTCCATGGCCGTCCAAATCGCCTGATCTCAACCCGAATGAACATTTGTGGGACGAACTTGATCGGCGCGTCCGTCAACGTCACCAGCGTCCCCACACACTTGCACAACTCCCCCACGCCTTACAGAAGGAATGGCGAAGAATTCCCCACGAAAAAATCCGACGACTTTTGCAATCTGTGCCAAGGAGGTGTCGAGCAGTGACGGCTGCAAGAGGTGGTGTGACCAGGTACTGACCATGACGCCCCCTTGTGGCTACACATGCATGTGCAATGACTGAACTGAATTAATGCTGACAATGACGACAATGCTTTTGTCGATCACTGTGTCTAATGTCATTTGATTGTGTTCACGCATGTTCTGTGTAGATACTTCTACATCCGCTTAATAGATATCCTTATTTTTTAACTATGCGTTTCGTTTTTTGAAGAGTGTACTAACCACAACACTACAAAAAATAAATAATAATAATAATGATAATAATCGTCAATGTGTGATTTTGCATCAAAATGTAAATGTGAATTTAGATTATGTAATGAATTTAATGAGACTGTCCAACAGATTGTCAGTGGATGCCAAGTTTGGGCTAAAAAACACAGTATCTTAAACGACTTGATGGTGAGGCTCGATCATTTTATTACCGTCTTCGCCATGCTTGTGGTTTTGACAAAGAGATCCACCCATGGTACGACCCGGAATATGTAGAGGGCGTCATGGAAAATAATAAATACAAAATTCTTTGGAATAGGCCCATTTACAGCCTCAGACGTATCCAGGCCAACAAACCTGATGTTGTCCTTTTTGATAAATCCAATGAAATCATTTATATCATTGAATTTTCTATCCCGTTTGACAAAAATGTGATTAACAAGATTCCGGAAAAACATGGCAAATATGCGAGCCTCGCTTTCGAAATGTCACGCTTGCATACCAAGTACCAAGTTGTCCGACTCCCCATTGTTCTCAGTGCCTTAGGTTTGGTACCTCCCAATCTGTTGACTGACATCGGGAGAGTACCCGGGTTTGCTGCCAGGAATACAGCCCTTCTGACCATCTGGGTAATGCAGAAGGCTGCAGTGTTGTGGAGTATTCGCTGTCTTGGGCTGCGTGTAGAGGAGGCAAGGGCCCTGAGCTGATGATGAGCCTAACCAGCCTGAATGTGCCAGGATCACTCAAACCCTCTTTGTTGCATATTTTATTTTAATCTGTACATAATAAACATATTTTTTATAATCATATTTCTGTGATTATTTTAATTGGTGAAACCTATACCTCTTGAATACAGTTTTCTGAAAGTGTGTGTGATAGCCACTTCTCTGACAACCTGTTTGTCACCATCCTAACACAGTTCCTTCGATATGCACATGTAATGACAATCGCAGTGACATACGCAGACAACTAAAGTATAAGAACATATCACACTTTCTCATGTTCTTGCACTATCGTCCACAGTGATTGCCAGCATCTGTTCAGTCACCTCGGTGGGTGAGATTTCCTGTTTAAAGCTGTTTCGGTTGCAATGTTTTTACTCTCACACATGTCGCAGCAAAGACACTCACGGTGAGTTTCAGACTCTGTAGTGTTTACTACAAGAGAATACAGAATAACACGGCGACCAATGTTTCTGGCCCGCGTCAAGCCGTGTGTACAAGAGTTGTTATTGTGACCGTCAATGCACAGCCGTAATGCACAACCTGGGACATCTTCCACAACACTTCTTGAACCCCGGACAGTCACTGTCCGAGAGGCAGAGAGGCTCTAGTGGACAGAATGGCAACGTGTCCGGACACTGGGGGATACGGGGACAGGTGCCCGGTACGTCCACTCCCGCTGTTGGAGCTGTACACGTCCTGGGACAACGACCACAACACTTGAGATCCAGTCGACAGTCAGCGTCCGTGTCACACGTGGTCAGGCACGCACCTGCAGCCAGCATGCGTCGGGCACATGCTCCGGGCTTATCTGGAAAACATATATCAGTTCCTGAGTTGTATCATGAATGCTTTGACTAGGAAAGTACAACATTCATTCTCATAATGTCTTGCTTATAAAGGGTTAAAGTGCTTGAAGCTTTGCCATGAATGATTTTGAGTTTCTAACTTAAATCATACTAAAATGTTTTATTCTCATTTCAAAGGAGATTGGACTCAGTGGCGTGGTGGAAGAAACGAAAACGTTGGTTCAAATTACTCAGAATTTCTTTGATTATTGAGCTTTGTAAACACTTACTTTGCCGCACACACTCCCCAATCTCGAAGCAAGGTGGTACAAATGGACACATGGTTCTGACTCGGCATACCTTGCCCCATGGACACAGCTTACCCTGAGATGAAGAAACATAGATGAGGTGAAATGGGGTTTAACGTCACGTCAAAGATTATTGCACTTATTTAGAAACGTTCTTTCACGCGTGTGTGTGTGTGTGTGATTTTATAGTGCTAGCCCACTGAGATACCAAGCCACAGTGTAACACTCAGACACAGTATACTGACTCCGAGCTGAACACTCCTTGTTTTAGCCTCTAAATTGCGAGCCTCAGGCAGGGTAACAACAACGTCTTTTGGTTTGACACAGCCGGGGATCGAATCCCGGACCTTCCGCTTGCCTGGCGGACGCTCTACCAGTAGACCACTGAGGCGGTTGAAGAGATATGTTGTTTTGCCCATAGAGCGTGTGAGGTGTGAAGATTCCCGGTTAGAATAGGTCTTCAGCAACCCATGCATACCGTAAAAGGCGACTATGCTTGTTGTAAAAGGCGACTAACGGGATCGGGTGGTCAGGCTCGCTGACTTGGTTGATGCATGTCATCGATCCCAATTGCGTGTATCGATACCCATGATATTAATCACTGGATTGTCTGGTCAAGACTCGATTATTTACAGACCGCCGTCATTTAGCTGGAATATTGCTGAGTGCGGCGTTAAACAACCAACCAACCAACCAAAATGAGTGGATTGATGCACATGATGTCAATCACTGGATTGTCTGGTCCAGACTGGATTATTTACAAAGTGCCGTCATATAGCTTGAATATGTCAGAGTGCGGCGGTAAACAACAATCAAACAAACACGAAGTGTCTGTTCCACTGAACAAGGCCTAGTACTACGCGATTGCGCCAGGCTCGCCTGGAGGTGCTTCTTGTTTAGTAAGAGCCAAGAACACCCAGAACATAATACAAGATGTACATACCTCGCACACACCGTGCGCGTTGCCAGTGACGTCAGCATGGACATATGCTGGCAGTAGGACCAGCATCTGTATACCACACTGAAAACAGAACATTGCGACAGACATGGCTCACATAGTCTATGATGTTTGTGTTAGGAAAATGACATTGTACATGGATATTAATCTATTCATTTAATACATTGTGGGTAAATATAAACCCGTAGGCATCAGGGTAACAATATGACCCCAGGATCCTGAGGTGACTAACGGGATCGGGTGGCCACGCCATAGCTGATTGCATGTCATCGTATACCAACTGCGTGAATTGATAGTCATGGTGTCAGTCACTGGATTGTCTGGTCCAGTGATGAGTAACACGACATCATCATATAGCTACAATAATGTTGGTGAGTGTCGCGTTACACAACAACCAAACAAATAAGAAAATGTCTAAAAATACAACAGGCGGTGAACATTGCGAGAATACCTCCCCCACCCCCCCACCCCCCACCCCCCCACCCCCCACCCCCCACGCCTCACACACACACCACCACCACCCCCTCCGTGTTGCTGCTAGAGTATACCCAGTGACAGTACAGTTGGTTTATACTGACCAGACATAGAGGTAGCATGCCGTCTGCCTGTGACACCCTGCGCTGGGCGTCCATATTCTTTAACATTCAGCCACGTTGCGAGGCACAAAAAACACACACATGATTAGATTGTCATACCACGCAATAAAACATCTCGTGTGAAACAATGTATAGCCGGAGCGTGCAGCCAACGCGCTTGTCCGTGTTGTGTCACAGAAGACTTCATATAGTTATGTGTTAACGCTGTAACAACTACCCGCACAACACTATAACTACCACCAGCCCAACACTGTAACAACCACCCACACAACACTATAACAACCATCCGTACAGCACTATAAGCACCACCCCAACAACACTATAACTACCACCCGCACAACACTATAACTACCACCCGCACAACACTATAACTGCCACCCGCACAACACTATAACTACCATCCGCACGACACTTTTACTTCTACCATCTGTAGAACCCGTATAACAATATATAATTTTTTAATTTGACGTTAAAACGAGATACGGTTTTTCCATTGGACGAGAAGGCGGCCACATGACCGCGAAATTGACGTTCATAAGTGTGTGCATGTCTTTGGTTTGTCATCACCGGCCTCACACGTGTCTCGTGTTTGTCGTCACCAGCATCATGCATGTCTCTGGTGTGTCGTTGGCATTATTACATATGTCTCTGGTTTGACATCACCGACATCATGCATGTCTCTGGTGTGTCATCACCAGTATAATGCATGTCTCTGGTGTGTCGTTGGCATTATTATATATGTCTCTGGTTTGTCATCACCAGCATCATGCATGTCTCTGGTGTGTCATCACCAGTATAATGCATGTCTCTGGTTTGTCATCACCAGCTTCATTCATATCTCGTGTGTGTCATCACCGGCATTATGCATGTATCACCGGCATCATGCGTGATGTGTACTAGATATATGAGGCTAGATACACCTCGCTTGACAGAGCAAGCCTTGATCTATAGGGACTGTGTGTTGCAGGTATTTACGTCGCTTGACACAGCAAGCCTTGATGTGTCCTAAATATATGTGGCTAGATACACCTCGCTTGACACAGTAAGCTTTGATCTATAGCGATTGTGTGTTGCCAGATACGCCTTGTTTGTCGTAGTGCATATTAAATCCATCCGTACTCCTCTTTTCCAATGACGTCATGTCAGGCTAGAGTTGGTGTGACGTCAGCTGATATATCTGCGGGGAGCGTTCTACAATCCCGACGACCCAAATGAACCGGTAAGCAAGTCCCTGAGACCAAAGGCAGATGAAATCTACACTTTAGGAAAAACAATATCTTTGTTGTGAACTGGAGATAAATTTATTGATGACAGGTTTATTCAGATTAAACAAAACAATGAGTGCTCAGAAACAATTGGCAGTCCAGTGATTATAGCATGACGTTGTTCAGTAGTTTAATTCTTGACATGGTTCATTGGTTTAATCTTGACATAGTCCAGTGGTTTAATCTTGACACTGGTCAGTGGTTTAATCTTGACATAGTTCAGTGGTTTAATCTTGACATAGTTCCGTAGTTTAATCTTGAAATTGGTCAGTGGTTGACTTTGACATGGTTCAGTGGTTTAACTTTGACATTGTTCACTGGTTGAATCTTGACACAGCCCAGTGGTTTAATCTTGACACAGTCCCATAAGTTTATCCAGGATGGAACACTCCGCCGAGAGCCTGGCCAAGAGACACCCCCGCCTCCCACACTTGGCTGTGTGGCAGCACTTGGAGCCGGGCAGACAGTCGCTGTCGCGCTCACACCTCGGCACCACAAACTCACAGAAGAACGCAGGGAGGGGGAAAGTCTTCGCACAATGCCCGTTGAAGTTGTCAAATGAATTTTGAGTCACAGGCGGTCTGTACGTGGTTAACGGTCCAGTGGTAGGTCTAGGACCTGCGAAGAAAAAAACGATATGATCATCAATGTCTTCTCCCACACAATCTGTATGTCCGCAAGTGTGTCTGTGATGGGTGGCTAAGTATGTACCCACCAGGGGAGAGTGTGATTGTATGTCCGCAAGTGTGTCTGTGATGGGTGGCTGAGTATGTACCCACCAGGGGAGAGTGTGACTGTATGTCAGCAAGTGTGTCTGTGATGGGTGGCTAAGTATGTACCCACCAGGGGAGAGTGTGACTGTATGGGTATACCCCAGGGGTGGGTGTGACTGAGTGTGTACCCACCAGGGGAGAGTGTGACTGTATGTGTACCACCAGGGGAGAGTGTGACTGTGTGTGAACACACCAGGGGAGAGTGTAGCTGTGTGTACCCACCAGGGGAGAGTGTGACTGTGTGGATATACTCCAGGGGAGAGCGTGACTGTATGTGTACACACCAGGGGAGAGTGTGACTGTATGTGTACCACCAGGGGAGAGTGTGACTGTGTGTGTACCCACCAGGGGAGAGTGTGGCTGTGTGTGTACACACTAGGGGAGAGCGTGGCTGTGTGTACACACCAGTAAAGAGTGTGACTGTATGTGTACACACCAGGGGAGAGTGTGGCTTTGTGTACCCACCAGGGGAGAGTGTGACTGTATGTGTACACATTAGGGGAGAGTGTGACTGTGTGTGTACCCACCAGGGGAGAGTGTGACTGTGTGTGAACACACCAGGGGAGAGTGTAGCTGTGTGTACCCACCAGGGGAGAGTGTGACTGTGTGGATATACTCCAGGGGAGAGCGTGACTGTATGTGTACACACCAGGGGAGAGTGTGACTGTATGTGTACCACCAGGGGAGAGTGTGACTGTGTGTGTACCCACCAGGGGAGAGTGTGGCTGTGTGTGTACACACTAGGGGAGAGCGTGGCTGTGTGTACACACCAGTAAAGAGTGTGACTGTATGTGTACACACCAGGGGAGAGTGTGGCTTTGTGTACCCACCAGGGGAGAGTGTGACTGTATGTGTACACATTAGGGGAGAGTGTGACTGTGTGTGTACACACCAGGGGAGAGTGTGACTGTATGTGTACACACCAGTAAAGAGTGTGACTGTGTGTGTACACACCAGGGGAGAGTGTGACTGTATGTGTACACACCAGGGGAGAGTGTGACTGTATGTGTACACACCAGGGGAGAGTGTGGCTGTATGTGTACACACCAGGGGAGAGTGTGACTGTATGTGTACACACCAGGGGAGAGTGTGACTGTATGTGTACACACCAGGGGAGAGTGTGACTGTGTGTGTACACACCAGGGGAGAGTGTGACTGTATGTGTACACACCAGGGGAGAGTGTGACTGTATGTGTACACACCAGGGGAGAGTGTGACTGTATGTGTACACACCAGGGGAGAGTGTGACTGTGTGTGTACACACCAGGGGAGAGTGTGACTGTATGTGTACACACCAGGGGAGAGTGTGACTGTATGTGTACACCCCAGGGGAGAGTGTGACTGTATGTGTACACACCAGGGGAGAGTGTGACTGTGTGTGTAAACACCAGGGGAGAGTGTGACTGTATGTGTACACACCAGGGGAGAGTGTGACTGTATGTGTACACACCAGGGGAGAGTGTGGCTGTATGTGTACACACCAGGGGAGAGTGTGACTGTGTGTGTACACACCAGGGGAGAGTGTGACTGTATGTGTACACACCAGGGGAGAGCGTGACTGTATGTGTACACACCAGGGGAGAGTGTGACTGTATGTGTACACACCAGGGGAGAGAGTGACTGTGTGTGTACACACCAGGGGAGAGTGTGACTGTATGTGTACACACCAGGGGAGAGTGTGACTGTATGTGTACACACCAGGGGAGAGTGTGACTGTATGTGTACACACCAGGGGAGAGTGTGACTGTGTGTGTACACATTAAGGGAGAGTGTGACTGTATGTGTACACACCAGGGGAGAGTGTGACTGTGTGTGTACACACCAGGGGAGAGTGTGACTGTGTGTGTACACACCAGGGGAGAGTGTGACTGTATGTGTACACACCAGGGGAGAGTGTGGCTGTGTGTACACACCAGGGGAGAGTGTGGCTGTGTGTGTACACACCAGGGGAGAGTGTGGCTGTGTGTACACACCAGTAAAGAGTGTGACTGTATGTGTACACACCAGGGGAGAGTGTGGCTGTGTGTGTACCCACCAGGGGAGAGTGTGGCTGTGTGTGTACACACTAGGGGAGAGCGTGGCTGTGTGTACCCACCAGTAAAGAGTGTGACTGATGTGTACACACCAGGGGAGAGTGTGGCTTTGTGTACCCACCAGGGGAGAGTGTGACTGTATGTGTACACACTAGGGGAGAGTGTGACTGTGTGTGTACACACCAGGGGAGAGTGTGACTGTATGTGTACACACCAGGGGAGAGTGTGACTGTATGTGTACACACCAGTAAAGAGTGTGACTGTATGTGTACACACCAGGGGAGAGTGTGACTGTGTGTGTACACACCAGGGGAGAGTGTGACTGTATGTGTACACACCAGGGGAGAGTGTGACTGTATGTGTACACACCAGGGGAGAGTGTGGCTGTATGTGTACACACCAGGGGAGAGTGTGACTGTGTGTGTACACACCAGGGGAGAGTGTGACTGTATGTGTACACACCAGGGGAGAGTGTGACTGTGTGTGTACACACCAGGGGAGAGTGTGACTGTATGTGTACACACCAGGGGAGAGTGTGACTGTATGTGTACACACCAGGGGAGAGTGTGACTGTATGTGTACACACCACGGGAGAGTGTGACTGTGTGTGTACACACCAGGGGAGAGTGTGACTGTATGTGTACACACCAGGGGAGAGTGTGACTGTATGTGTACACACCAGGGGAGAGTGTGACTGTATGTGTACACACCAGGGGAGAGTGTGACTGTATGTGTACACACCAGGGGAGAGTGTGACTGTGTGTGTACACATTAAGGGAGAGTGTGACTGTATGTGTACACACCAGGGGAGAGTGTGACTGTGTGTGTACACACCAGGGGAGAGTGTGACTGTGTGTGTACACACCAGGGGAGAGTGTGACTGTATGTGTACACACCAGGGGAGAGTGTGGCTGTGTGTACACACCAGGGGAGAGTGTGGCTGTGTGTGTACACACCAGGGGAGAGTGTGGCTGTGTGTACCCACCAGTAAAGAGTGTGACTGTATGTGTACACACCAGGGGAGAGTGTGGCTGTGTGTACCCACCAGTAAAGAGTGTGACTGTGTGTGTACACACCAGGAGAGGATGTTACCGTGTGCGTACCACCAGGAGAGGATGTTACTGTGTGTGTACCACCTGGGGAGGATGTTACTGTGTGTGTACCACCAGGAGAGGATGTTACTGTGTGCGTACCACCAGGAGAGGATGTTACTGTGTGTGTACCACCAGGAGAGGATGTTACTGTGTGTGTACCACCTGGGGAGGATGTTACCGTGTGTGTACCACCAGGGGTGGATGTTACCGTGTATGTACCCACCAGGAGAGAGCGTGGCAGTGTTTGTACCACCAGGGGAGGATGTTACCGTGTGTGTACCCACCAGGAGAGAGCGTGGCCGTGAGTGTACCACCAGGGGAGGATGTTACCGTGTGTGTACCCACCAGGAGAGAGCGTGGCCGTGAGTGTACCACCAGGGGAGGATGTTACCGTGTGTGTACCCACCAGGAGAGAGTGTGGCCGTGTGTGTACCTACCAACCGATGGGCTCCAGCAACACAGGGACTGGATGTCTTGTATCTCGGTGTTGCACTCGGTGGTTTCGGGGCAAAGCCTTCGGTCGTTACAGTAGGGGGTGCTGTACGTCAGCAAGCCTGTCTGCTCTAGTACTGGGCTGCCGTACCGGCAGGCCCCCACCCGACCCTGGTCTCTAGCTGAAACAAAGGAGATCACTACACTCACTAATGTGACACGCATCCGGTCGAAAAAGTGGAGACCACTCGCTTCATAGACAGTGAACTTTCAGGAGATATCACGACAGTCAAATTTATCTAAACATTTGAACTTTCAGGTTAACTGTTACACAGTTGTACTGTTATGTTTTTTAGTTGTATAAATATCATACATTACAAAACATTGCGGACATATTCCCTTATATTTCCAAATACCGACTAAGCATTTGGAAAACGCAATTTTAAAATACAAACGAGAGACATTTTAATAGAATTTACTCTTCCTTGATGTTCGACGGCATAGTGCAAAAAGGATTTTAAGTGTTCAAACCATCAAAATAGCTGGTCACCCTGGATCTTCAAACATACATTAGTTCCTCTGCGACATAAGATAAATAACAAGGGCTAATGACTTCCTCAGGATTTCTTTGATCAGTGATAGTTTCTATTATGCTCACTCACTCACTCACTCACTCACTCACTCACTCACTCACTCACTCACTCACTCACTCACTCACTCACTCACTCACTCACGCACTCACGCACGCACGCACGCACGCACGCACTCACTCACTCACTCACTCACTCGGTATGATACTCACGGACACACTGTGGTTGTGGAGGACAAGGAGTTCCTGGAGCGCAGGACACGACGACAAGCCGACACTCATAGCCTGGCGTCTCACAGCCCTGGTACAGACAGAAGCTACACCATCACACCATCAGAACATAGTCGTCATTACCCGTTCCCAGCATGCACAGACCCCGCACTCACAGTCGAGTCATAGTAGTGTCAGGCACACAGGTTCACTGAATGGCTTTATGCTTTAAGTATGTATTTACCCCTACCTCTCCGTAATGTGGCTTAAGACTTCATTGTAAGTGATGTTGAAATACGTGCAGAACGTATCCCATTATAGAACATTTTACGCAACATTTGAGTCATTCAACACAAATATCTCATGTTAGACCTGGACTCGTTTAACATGTTGTGCATAACAGACCAATGACAGCTGCACGAATAAACCGACACCCCATGTCACTCCCCTCTACGTACAAACAACGATTCGTCCCTGAACAGGTTTTCATAGTCATCGGAGGATTTAGTTTGTAGTTCATTTGATCAATGTTAAACAACAAACAAACAAAACTCACATAGCCAGAACAGGGGTCCGACGTCTGAGATACCACCAAGCTAACAAAGCCAACCTGAAAACAAAGACAAACTTCGATCAAACTTGTTGAAGAATCATACCGACCTACATACACATGTCACACAAGACACATAAGAATCACACATGTCACGCAAGACACATAAGAATCACACATGTCACACAAGACACATAAGAAGCACACATGTCACGCAAGACACATAAGAATCACACATGTCACGCAAGACACATAAGAAGCACACATGTCACGCAAGACACATATGAAGCACACATGTCACGCAAGACACATAAGAAGCACACATGTCACGCAAGACACATAAGAATCACACATGTCACGCAAGACACATAAGAAGCACACATGTCACGCAAGACACATAAGAATCACACATGTCACGCAAGACACATAAGAAACACACATGTCACGCAAGACACATAAGAAGCACACATGTCACACAAGACACATAAGAATCACACATGTCACGCAAGACACATATGAATCACACATGTCACGCAAGACACATAAGAATCACACATGTCACACAAGACACATAAGAAGCACACATGTCACGCAAGACACATAAGAATCACACATGTCACGCAAGACACATAAGAAGCACACATGTCACGCAAGACACATATGAAGCACACATGTCACGCAAGACACATAAGAAGCACACATGTCACGCAAGACACATAAGAAGCACACATGTCACGCAAGACACATAAGAAGCACACATGTCACGCAAGACACATAAGAATCACACATGTCACGCAAGACACATAAGAAACACACATGTCACGCAAGACACATAAGAAGCACACATGTCACACAAGACACATAAGAATCACACATGTCACGCAAGACACATAAGAAACACACCTGTCACACAAGACACAAGAAACACACATGTCACACAAGACACATAAGAAGCACACATGTCACGCAAGACACATAAGAATCACACATGTCACGCAAGACACATAAGAATCACACATGTCACACAAGACACATAAGAATCACACATGTCACGCAAGACACATAAGAAGCACACATGTCACGCAAGACACATAAGAATCACACATGTCGCGTAAGACATATAAGAATTACACATGTCACGCAAGACACATAAGAATCACACATGTCGCGTAAGACACATAAGAAGCACACATGTCACGCAAGACACATAAGAAGCACACATGTCACGCAAGACACATAAGAATCACACATGTCACACAAGACACAAGAAACACACCTGTCACACAAGACACATAAGAATCACACATGTCACACAAGACACAAGAAACACACATGTCACGCAAGACACATAAGAAGCACACATGTCACACAAGACACAAGAAACACACATGTCACACAAGACACAAGAAACACACATGTCACACAAGACACATAAGAATCACACATGTCACACAAGACACAAGAAACACACACGTCACGCAAGACACATAAGAAGCACACATGTCACACAAGACACAAGAAACACACCTGTCACACAAGACACAAGAAACACACATGTCACACAAGACACATAAGAATCACACATGTCACACAAGACACAAGAAACACACCTGTCACACAAGACACAAGAAACACACATGTCACACAAGACACATTAGCTAAATGTGTGTTATTGTTAAACACAATGTATTTTCAGTATTTCCGTATCCTGGACTCGCCTTCAACCCATGATCGTATTCCCCAAACACCAAGAGGTCAGTGTCACATGTAAAACCCCTGCATGGTATCACCTAGCTCCTCCGATCCGCAATGACTGGAAGTGTATCACAAACAACAAGAGCTCTTCACTCACTTACTCCCAGTAGACTGTCTATATTTATTATTCCACAAAGCCACGAGGGTAACGTAGATGTGGATGTATACACAACGTCCAAGCAGTCATCTCCTTACATGAAATGTTAGTAGGTTCTGTGATACACAGCAGAGCATAATGCAATTTCCGAATATTACCAATACATTAAGATATTTCAGGTGTACTTTCAACTCAATGTTTCAACCCTAGGCCGATGACAGGAATGTACCGAAACCCCTCCCAACAGCACCAAGCACACGCTTCACGTCCTTGTCAATGTCAGATACTCACCAAGATCCCAACTCTCAAGAACATCATGTTCGCAATGAGGCGTCCACTCGTTTGGTAAAAATCTGTGACGTGTTAAGATATAGGTACAGTTTCCACCACCCTCAGTTTGCAGGGGAGGGGCCGGGGCTGCACAAAAAGCCGCCCTGACACTGTATGATCAGCGTGTGTATGTTATGTTGGGAATGGGCTGTGTGTGTTGATTTAGTCGGGCTGGGCTTTAGCAACCTCGCTCTGTGAACGAACTGTGAACTTAAATGTCACTCGAATCTCAACAAACATGCACGATTACTTCGGACCCCCTTTCAACAGCCGCCGTAGTGTATAGTAGAACTACGAATATCCCTACAGGACACGCTGAACGGTCGTATGTGGTGTCTTTCCCCTCACACTCTCACAGTTCATATTTGTTAAGGCGTATTGGTGTCACATTCTAAAACAAAACTATCATGTATGTTGAGGATACCTTCATCTTCGTAAATGACATTATGTCATCAACTATCGAATTATCGACCTTGGTAACAATGATTTCTCGAGTAATCGATAATACTTCCGTATCGGTTTTACATTAATTCTGGCTTGACTTTCATCCTTGACAAATCTTTATTGAGGTACTTCCTGAACATGAATAAGGTAACTCTTCATTTAGATGTGACCAGAAACTAGCACCAGGCCATCATCATCACCGTCATCATGTGACTGACTCAACAGTTTCTGATTGGCTGATACCTCACCTAGCTTTCCACTTGTGACGGATCCAGATGAATTCGAAGCCCCAGTGCTATTTGTTTTGAGTAGCACCAGCGGATCAACACGTGAGGGTGGGGCGTCCTACACATGGCGACAAGGATGAAGTACACCGCATCCTCTTTTAACCGAAATAAAAAGAAAACAGTATGAAATGTTCTTCAAACTACAAAGTGGACTTAGTTTTCAAATTGTTTGAAATTCGTTAGAAAAGTTTTTTAACTCTTTTGAAATGAAACCATTATGATGACGTCACGCTATGATGGTTGCTGTTGATTCGGGAACAGGGCTTCACAGGCCTACTTGTAAGTTCAATTTGTGCAAGTGAAACTGACGCAACTATAGGTCTTTATGCAAACTTTTAGCGAAAGGGCCAGGGCATGGCGAGAAAGCGTTACCATCCCTTATCTGCCGTCAGATGGCGTGATTTTGAGTGATCATCCAATGAGAGCAGACGTTAAGAAGCGCCTAAAAACACGCTGACGCCATATGTACAAGTAGTGAAGGTACGTTTCTAAATAATATGAAAAAATGTGATTCTGCTGTACGGAATGTATATATTTTAAAGCGTTAATTGTGAGAAAACGTAAGATGATATCCAAAACATTTGTGCATTTACAAAACATATTGGCATCATGTATCTTTTGGGAGTTGACAAGCGACAGTTCGAGACCCAGTAATTACAGTATACAGTGTATGTAGGATAAAGGGATGTATGTAGGATTAAGGGGTGTATGTAGGATAAAGAAGTGTATCTAGGATAAAGGGGTGTATGTAGGATTAAGGGGTGTATGTAGGGTAAGGGGGTGTATGTAGGATAAAGAAGTGTATTTAGGATAAAGGGGTGTATGTAGGATAAGGGGGTGTATGTTGGACACAGGGGTGTATGTAGGATAAAGGGGTGTATGTAGGATAAAGAAGGGTATGTAGGATAAAGGGGTGTATGTAGTATAAAGGGATGTATGTAGGATAAAGTGCTGTATAAATGATTAAGGGGTGTATGTAGGATAGAGGGGTGTATGCAGGATAAAGGGGTGTCTATAGTATAAAGGGCTGTATGTGGGATAAGGGGGTGTATGTTGGATAAAGGGGTTCATGTAGGATAAAGGGGTGTATGTAGGATAAAGGAGTTCATGTAGGATAAAGGGATGTATGTAGGATAAAGGGGTGTATGTACGATAAAGGGATGTATGTGGGACACAGGGGTGTATATAGGATTAAGGGGTGTATATAGGAAAAAAGTAAGTATGTAGGATAAAGGGTGTATGAAGGATAATCTGGTGTATGTAGGATAAAGGTAAGTATGTAGGATAAAGGGATGTATGTAGGATAAAGGGGTGTATGTAGGATAAAGGGATGTATGTAGGATAAAGGGCTGTATATATGATTAAGGGGTGTATGTAGGATAGAGGGGTGTATGCAGGATAAAGGGGTGTCTATAGTATAAAGGGGTGTATGTAGGATAAAGGGGGTGTATGTAGGATAAAGAAGTGTATATAGGATAAAGGGGTGTATGTAGGATAAGGGGGTGTATGTAGGTTACAGAAGTGTATGTAGGGTAAAGGGGTGTATGTAGGACACAGGGGTGTATATAGGATAAAGGGTGTAAATAGGATAGAGGAGTGTATGTAGGATAAAGAAGTGTATGTAGGATTAAGGGGTATATGTAGGATAAAGAAGGGTAAGTAGCATAAAGGAGTGTATGTAGGTTAAGAAGGGTATGTAGGATAAAGAGTGAGTGAGTGAGTATGGTTTTACGCCGCTTTAGCTATATTTAAGCAATATCACGGCCTCACGGCCTCACACATTGAACCCATGTCGGGAATCGAACCCGGGTCTTCGGCGTGACGAGCGAATGCTTTAACCACTAGGCTACCCGACCGCCCCTGTAGGATAAAGGGGTTAATGTAGGAAAAAGGGGTGTATGTAGGACACAGGGGTGTATATAGGAAAAAGGGTGTAAGTAGGATAAAGGGGTGTATATAGGATAAAGGGATGTATGTAGGATAAAGGGGTGTATGTAGGATAAGGGGGCGGATGTAGGATAAAGAAGTGTATATAGGATAAAGGGGTGTATATAGGACAAAGAAATGTATATAGGATAAAAGAGTGTATGTAGGATAAAGGGAAGTATGTAGGATAAAGGTGTGTATGTAGGACACAGGGGTGTATGTAGGATAAAGAAGTGTATGTACGATAAAAGTGTGTATGTAGGATAAAGGGAAGTATTTGGATAAAGGGTGTATGTTGGATAAAGGCGTGTATGTAAGATAAAGGGGTGTATGTAGGATAAAGGCGTGTAGGTAGTACTAAGGGGTGTTTGTAAAGGATAAAACACGTCATAGCGAAACCAGAAGGAAGCAGTAATTAACGACCTAGGAAAACTGCGGGCGCCAGCTCGAAGCGTTAGTAGAGAGGCACTGCTCCCAGAGGAGGAGTGTTTCGTCCGAATTATGGACCATCGAAAGAACATTGCTTAATATTTGTTCAAGGATATGTATAAAAGTGTGTTACAACCATCTAAAGAAACGCTCGTAAAATAGAGCTGGATAGGAAATATCCGCTTAACATGAACACTTCTAATGCACCTCATTCCTTCAGCCAGGTCTTATAGCCTGACTAGAACAAAGGCGGTTGTGAGTTCTGTTCCCGTCATTCACATTGGAATCGTGTTGTAGGATCTATCTGACATTCTGCTCAGCTCATTTAGTGTTTATTTAACACCCACTCTTCTTGATCATCAATCTATCACAGGCAGCAGATATGTACAAAAAGGATGGCGTTGGACCTTTTAGTGGATTATACATTGGTTTATGATTTAGTTTTATTTCGACGTCGTGTCCGATATGCCACCAATATTTTAAAACACGTCCTAAACCTGCTCGAGAATATTATACAAAGATGTAGACTCCCTGATCTGCTGATCATTTACCCAATATGGTAAATTGGTAAAATTGTCTCGCATATATTGATATTCAATGCGCCTTAGTTCGTAGTGCTGTAAATGTGACATTTCAGTTTTGACATCTACTCCAACAGGTAACTAACTATACAAGCACAGGCCGGGCACCATCCGGGGCAGAACAGAACATGGGCGGCCGTGGTCTGGCATCTCCGCCTTCAGCGCTCATCGGAGGAGTGACTGTAATTACGTCCATCTCGCAACTTTCACATCGCTCATCATATTGGGTAAAGAAACACCACAGCACTGACTTTGTGTAAGTTTGGGTTTTAATTCTGTTTGTTTGCTATACGTACAACTGACATGCTGCATCTGTTTCTTTCATATATGTACAACTGACATGCTGCTTCTGTTTGTTTCCTATACGTACAACTGACATGCTGCTTCTGTTTTTTTTGTATGTACAACTGACACGCTGCTTCTGTTTGTTTCTTGTATGTACAACTGACATGCTGCTTCTGTTTGTTTCCTGTATCTACAACTAACATGCTGCTTCTGTTTGTTTCCTATATGTACAACTGACATGCTGCTTCTGTTTGTTTCCTATATGTACAACTGACATGCTGCTTCTGTTTGTTTCCTATATAAATAACTGACATGCTGCTTCTGTTTATTTCCTATATGTATAACTGACATGCTGCTTCTGTTTGTTTCTTGTATATACAACTGACATGCTGCTTCTGTTTGTTTCCTATATGTATAACTGACATGCTGCTTCTGTTTATTTCCTATATGTACAACTGACATGCTGCTTCTGTTTGTTTCCTATATGTACAACTGACATGGTGCTTCTGTTTGTTTCCTATATGTATAACTGACATGCTGCTTCTGTTTATTTCCTATATGTATAACTGACATGCTGCTTCTGTTTGTTTCCTATATGTACAACTGACATGCTGCTTCTGTTTGCTTCTTGTATGTACAACTGACATGCTGCTTCTGTTTGTTTCCTGTTTCTACAACTGACATGCTGCTTCTGTTTGTTTCCTATATGTACAACTGACATGCTGCTTCTGTTTGTTTCCTATATGTATAACTGACATGCTGCTTCTGTTTATTTCCTATATGTACAACTGACATGCTGCTTCTGTTTGTTTCCTATATGTACAACTGACATGCTGCTTCTGTTTGTTTCCTATATGTATAACTGACATGGTGCTTCTGTTTATTTCCTATATGTATAACTGACATGGTGCTTCTGTTTATTTCCTATCTGTACAACTGACAAGCTGCTTCTGTTTGTTTCCTATATGTATAACTGACATGGTGCTTCTGTTTATTTCCTATCTGTACAACTGACATGGTGCTTCTGTTTGTGTCCTATCTGTACAACTGACATGCTGCTTCTGTTTGTTTCCTATATGTATAACTGACATGGTGCTTCTGTTTATTTCCTGTATGTATAACTGACATGGTGCTTCTGTTTATTTCCTATCT